TTTCTTGTTCCCCAATAAAAGGCCACTCCCTGGCGTGCTCTCTCTCTCTCTCTCTCTCTCTCTCTCTCCTGCTAGCCCTGAGTAAGCCTTGCTGCCCCACCGGGTGTTCGGGGTGAGAGCCAGAGAGGTGAGAGCCGTCTCGGACCTGGTCATAGAAAAAGGTAATTGAGTCTGTGTGTTTTATTTTGATCTCACTAGTTAACTTCTATGCCATGAATCACTTTAATGAAACCAGCGTGCTGGTCACCTGGGGGATTACCAGACATTTTTGTTTATTTTTGGCATTTAGCTTGACTTGGTTTCTCCTTTTATTGTAGTTCTTCCCTTTGCAGATTTTCATTGTTGTTTTACATTTCCTCCATGTGGAATATTTCGCCAAGAGTGTTCTGTAGTGCAGGCTTTCTTGATACAAATTCTTTTACCTTTTGTTTATCATGGAAGGTTTTTATTTCATCGTCAAATTTGAAGCTTAATTTTGCTGGACATAAGATTCTTGGTTGGCATCCATTATCTTTTAGAGCTTGGTATATGTTGTTCCAGGATCTCCTGGCTTTGAGAGTCATACAACATGGTACTGCAAACCAGTACAGAATTCACCTAAGTAAATAGAAGCATCAAAGAAATAATAAAACTATGCAACTTGAAAGAAAAATCTACTAAAACTTTCGCTGACAAAGTGGTTAACCTGACAGCTGCTTCTCTAAACTCACCACCTTCATTGATTGAGCATTAGTCCAAACAAAAAGGAAATTACAGGTTAATACAAATCAGAACTAAGAAAGAAGACTTATAAATCAATAAAAATGATATCTAAAATACAGGGTCATTTTTTCTTGCCTATGTGTGACTGTTATGATCAAGTGGATCAAGTGGGTCAAAAATAATAAAATGTGTTTAATAAATAAAGATCTGATGAAGTAATAACACATATTAAAGAAGAATCAAAATAAAGGTATACTTGGCCTTAGGAAAATCACACCAAGAATTTTCAAAGCTTTCCCAAAAGGAAGGTGTGACATGAATTGTCATAAACTCCATCCTTGTATAACATGAGAGACCTACCTGGGGAGACAGCGCAATGGGGGTGGTTGCAAAGCCCTATCCCTCACTGGTCTCGGTCCACTATCAGGCGCTAGCATCTTAGAGAAAGAACATGGTGTAGTGAAGAGTGTCCTGTGCTCCTGCCCAGCATTCTGGGGAGGGTCAGAGAGAAGAGGGTGGAGAGGAGGGAGAGGGGACACAGTGAACAGCTGGGGTACATAGAGTTCTTTGTGCTCTTTTTACACATTTTCTCAAAGTCTGAAACTACATCAAAATAAATTTTTTTTTAAAGAAATACATTTACCAACTGATCCAAGACACACAAACATATATTACTAATTGAAATAAAAGTAAGGTCAAAAATAGCCCATATTGAGTGCATACGTGAAATTCTGAATTTTAAAAAGTCTTTTTTCCTTCAATAAAAAAAGGCATTCTCCATCCACCACATCACTGCTCTATAACAGGAGGTGATTATCCCCTCAGGGAATTCAGCAATGCTCACAGACTTCTTGAATTGTCCCAACTGAGAAGTGCCACTGGCCTCTCAAGTTCAGGTGTGCTGCTTAATACTCTGAAATACACAGCATGGAGCCCATGACCAAGATTTTTGTGGTCCACACTGGCAGTTGTGCCCAGCTTGAGAAACCCTGGATTAAAAGTCACAACTGGAACAGGGCCCTAGATATGCTGGCTAGCAGGAAGGAAGCCTGAGTGGCCCTCCCTGGACACCAGCTACAGGGCTGTGCTGCAGGGAGGAACTGGGAACACTCTGACCCAGGGGCAGCCCTGTGGCCTCAGGCTGCACATCAGGCAAGAGACAAGGAGGGCGGGGCAGATAACTGGGACTAGCAGCTGGAGAGACTGGGCAGCTGCACTTCCAGGGTTCAGGGTAGAGAGGGGGTGTCTGTGATCACCCAGCACCCTGTCCCAGAGCCAGGCAGCCTGAACCCAGCTCCACAGTGGTCATTCCTCCAGAGCTGCTGGCCCAGGGCCAGACAGAAAGAACTCTGCCCTTTTCAAGACATGTCCACCATGTCTGAGAAGGATGTGCAGAAAGCTCCTGCCAGTCACTTCCAATTCTCAATGGCATAACTGAGACCCTCCCTGAAATTAATACCAGAGCAGGGGACACTAAATCTTGAATATATAAGCTTCTCATGACATTCACAGCCATGGAAATCCAGGTTTGAAGTCACATAAGCAATAGCTCCTTTCCCATGTTCACCCTCCCTCGAAAGCTGCACAGAGACTGTTGTGCACAGTGACCACAAACAGGTGATTTTCTTCTTAATACCCTTGAAATTCCGGTGATGAATGGGAACCTTTACTGTAACAGGGGCCACTCTGTGCTATGAACATGACCCTGAAGTGGATTTGGGGGGTTTTATTCCCTTTCTTCTCTCCCTCCCCACTTTCTAGTCTTGGGGAAGCAATATTTCATGTCTTCTCCTCCTAAGCCAAGTAAGATGTCCCTAGCCCACACACACCACAAGAATGCAGTACTCCAGTCGTTGCAGACTGACACCACAAGAACTAAGAAACAGCCATCTTTCAAGGCTACAGCTGAATCACGACCCCTGATGGGGCACCCCTGGAAGGTAGCCTTTGGATCACCTTTAAAGTCCTCTGTTCCCCTGATGCACCTGGAACAAGGGTCCCTGGAGTTTCTCCTGGGCCAGCAAAGCAAGGAAATCATTTTTTCCTTTCTCTCAAAACCTTGTCCTCACTTTTGGGTTGGTGTTGGGGACAAGAACCCAGCTGTCTGTAGCACTGCCAGGAGAAATGTATGTGGCTTACCTCCAAAAGAAGATACCTTCCTTCCAAGGCCCCCAAGCACTGAGTTTTTAGACACCTCTGTGAGTCCATTACAAATAGGAAGCCCCCAAATAAATGAGCATGCTCTAGTGTTTGGGGCAATGTGTGATTAAACTGGTCACTGATGTTTGTGACCAATGTGTGTATTTGTTTGCTGTGTGTACGACTCACAGTTAGAAACGGAATCAATAAAAGGTATAGACATGTTGTTTTGTATGGTATGCATGCATGCCTTATTTATTATGGAAATTGGCTCATGCAGTCATGGAGGTGTATGGATCCCATGATCTCCCCTCTACCAGCGGACGAAGACAGGAAGCTGTGGTGTATTCAGTCCCAGGCTGCAGACCTGAGTGCAGGGGTGACTGGAGGCAGGTGCTGGGGTACATCCCAGGTCAAGTCTAAAATCCAAAGAACAAGGAGCACAGATGGCCCAGAGCAAATGAGGGATGTCACAGGCATGACGATGGCATATTCACATGTCCTCTCACTGTTTCTTCCATCCAGGGTCTTCCCTGTTTGGTGATGGCCTCCTCCAATAGTGAGAAGTGTCTTCTCTACTCAACCTATTGACTCAAGATGCCCATTTCTTCTGGAAACATGGCGGCAGACACCCCAAACAAAACGTTTTACTAGCTCTCAGGGCAGCCCTCAGTACAGTTCCTTGGACATCAAGAAACCAGCACCACGTGAGGTGATGGAAGTAGAGCACAATCACAGCTCGTTACATTATCCTGAGGCAAACAAAGGCTGGGTCTGCCACAAGCTCAGCCTTGACCTGTTTCCCAGGAATTGCCTGAGTCACAGGCTGAGATGGTCAACTGAGCTTAACACAGGAAGATTCACTGACAGGGAGAGTCATCCACAGTGATTCTTCCCATGGAGGAAACACAGACAGTAACAAGTAACAAAGAGTGAGCACAGAGATCAATATACCAAGCTTGTAGGCTAAGAGGGACTAACCAAGAAAGATGGTCCCCATGCCAGGTGTGGAGGAAGCCCAGAAGGACACCTTGAAGGCATCTAGAAAACTGAGTAGAGCCAGGATGCTGGACACTTAAGAGATGGGCACCAACCATTTCATAGCGGCAAGAAGGGTCCTGGTCTCCCTGCTGGGGACCCGCTACCCTGGTCCCTGCTCACTGTGAGCCACAGCCCTATTGTCCTGTGGAAGGATTCCATGACCACAGGAGGAAGCAAGATTGCATGCATAAAGGGGTCCTTTATTCTCTAGACGCCCTCCTAGGCTGCCTGCTCTGAGGGTGTCAGAAATGGGACCAGGAAGTCTCAGACCCCACCAGAATCTCAGAAACCCAGCAAATGCCAGGGACATCAGGCATTCCCTTGGAAGTAGCAAGGAAAGGTGGCGAGTGCAGGGAGCCAATGCAATTAGACAAATGCTGAGCAAGTGGGGTCGAGTCTTCACTGGGCACCAGGCAAGGCTGGGAGGCAGGGCGCTCAAGGAACAGGGATAAGCACTAAGCAAGTGTCGTCTTTTGGGCAGGGCCAGAGAACAGGAGACGGAACTCTAAGAAAAGGGACAATCAGTGTCCACAAATTCACTAAAAAGCCTCCTGGAGCACCTGCTCTAAGGATATCAAAAATGGGAACCAGGTTGTCAAATCCTGTCCATCCTGTCAGAATCCTTGTGAAGCCTCCTGCCATTTCCAGTGTCAAATGCCATGGAAGTGTGTAAGTAGACAGGGAGCGTTCCCCGGTGAGCAAACTCACAGGGGAAACTGGTGCCCTGATTCCCACAATTGGAATGCCCAGCCGTTTCCCCCTGAGGTAATGAGACAACTATGCGGGCACTATCTGTTTTCCTTGGATATGCCCTTGGTAGGTAGGAGCCCCATGTTACTTCTAACCTGGACCTGATCTCTGTTAGCTAGGACTTAGGGTAAAGTAATACGAATTAGAATATCATCAAGGAGTGGACACTTTACTTCTGAACTTCTTCTTCACCATTCACTTCACTCCTCTCGGCTCCTCCTGTCTGTCTGCTTGCACTTTCTGTGTCTGTGTCTGTTCTTTTGTGCACCTCCTCACAGGTATTCCTCCACAGGTGTTCCTTTATAGGAGTAGTAGTGACACTTGGCAAGTCCAGGGAGGAAAACTTAGAATGAGGTAACGCCAGCAGGTGTGTTTCAGCCTTTATTGGGATCAGCTGCCGCTCTGGGGTCTGAGCTGCACACAAGGGAATACTGGATTTTCAGACAGTTCTCAGGAGCAGGGGTGAAGTCAGCTCTGCAAATCAGAGCCAAGGATTCATGGTTGAATTTAGGGCACAGAGAAGCAAGAGGGAAGGGACAGTGCTGAAGAAGAATGCGAAATGAAGCAGGCAGAGGTTCCAAAGGAGGAGGGATTGAGTAGAAGAAAGGGAGCCAAGGAGGCCTTGCAGAGGAGGAGGGAGTGGAAAGAGGAGCAAGGACTGAGAAGACTGGTGCCTGGGTGCAGAGAGCCAGCTGTGTGAGGAACCCGGGGCCAGCAGGGGCAAGGATGGCTTCTTCCTCTCAGTCTGGGTGTTAACAGCCTCTTACTTGTTGCCCCATGTGGCCATCTTGGAATACATAGGTGTTGGGAGGAAGCGGCTGGACTTCATGTAGGCAGAGATCTTCTTCAGGCCCTGTGAGTGGCAAGAGGAAGCAGGAGCTCAGGGCTGCTGTCCCACTGGGCTGGAGCAGCCCCAGTGCAGGAGCAGCCCTGCCAGGAGAGCTCCAGTGCTGAGCAGCGCACAGTCACCCCAGTTTCTGGGGTCTGGAAGGACACCCTTCAGGGACATTCTTCAGTTTGCAGTGACTGAAGAGAGTATGCACCCTATGCACAATGCATTATATGCACTAGAAATTGCAATGCAGCTTAGAAAACCCACTCAACAACCCAGCAAGATTGATCATGTCTCACCATCTATCAGGAGGGAACCTGAGGTGCAGGGAGAGGGTTTAGGGAACTTCCTCATGCTCACACAGCTAGAAAGTGGGAGGGGCTGGAGAGAGCCTGGCTCTTGCCTTTCCAGTTCTGTACTCTCTGCTCCACTCCCTTCCTGTGCCCCGACAGGAGGCCCTGTCACTCCCAATTTGCACATACTTTGTCCTTTAGGCACTAAAAACTGCCCATACCTGAATTTCATACAGAGAAAAATTCTACCAGGACAAAGGGGCAGAGAACAGTTCACTATCTGTTGGAAAAGACTGAAGACTACACTGAGTTATTCACAAGAAAATTCTGGATGAACTGAGACCCAGGGAAGAGCCACAAAAAATTGCTGGGCAAGGATCTAATCTATCTCCTGAGAATAGAAAGTCCAAATGTCTCTACCAGGTACCTGATCCCAAGCCTACTAAGCCCCAAACTAGCTCATCTCCAACCCTTCCATGACCCAGGCCATCTCTTCCCTGTTTATATCATGTGCCTTCCTTCCCACAGTCCTGCCACCTCCTGGACAATTCCCAAGGCCTCTCAGCAGAGACCAGAAAACCAGAATTGTTGAGAAGTAGCTGAGAAAGTGCTTTACTACATGAGGAGTAGGAAAACAAGAGCTCACTGGCTGAGAAACCTGCTATACTAATGTCTCAAATTCCCAGACCAGCACCAAAGAAGGTTTTGTTGGTGACAAAAAGTGAACCTGGGGAAACCCTTGAGTTTCTCTGAAGTGGTGTGCAGGCTGTGATCCTCAGCACCCAAGTGGCACCACTGGCAACTCTTAGTCAGGTGCCTGCTGTTCCCTGGTGCACTTGGTCCCAGGATGGGGCCTCCATACATGTCCACTGGGCCTGACACCAAAGCTCATGTGGAGGAGACACTGAATAAGAGTGAAAATCAGTGTACGACCCCAGCTCACACACAGAATGCTTGAGATACTCGAGAGAGGATGCTGGCTGAAAGCAAGATCCCAACCATCCAAAGAGCCATAATAAAGTCCCCAAGGGTCCCCACATGTACTCACCCAGCACCAGCCACCACCCTGGGGTGCTGATGCTTTCCTAGTTTCAAGTCAATAGGAATAGTGTCATGTGGGGGGAACCATGCAAGGATAGGGGCGACAGAATATGTGGTCTTCGGATTTTCCTTTAGGGAATTTGAGGGACCCAGGACTGTGGTCACCTGACTAAGGATATACCCATTAGCCAATTTGTATTTTGGCCCTATTTGTGCAAGAAAATCCAAGAACTAGAAATGGGGACACTGAGGTGCCACCAGTAGTACCAGTCTGCAGGCTCTCACACTGAGCAGACACAAATGCATTGGTCATCACTGGGGTATGAGCTTGGGTGGAAGATTATGTTTTCCAAGGAGCAGACACTTCTCCTTTTTCCAAAGGGAGACAGGAACGGATCCATAGGGGACCCTAGAGGACTCCACACAGGACACAGCTAGGCCAGGGCCAGACCTCAGCTGTCCAGGTCCCTGCATTCCCATCCTAGCCTTGCTCCTGATGATTCAGTAAAAATGTGTTTAAGTTAGATGAGAAACTGTAACATTGGACTGCAAATCAGTACAGAATTCAGCAAAGTAAATCAAAGCATAAAAGAAATAATAGACCATGCAACTTGAAAAACAAAGAAAGAATGATCTACTGAAACATCTACCAACATCGTGGTTAAGCTGATAGTTGCTTCTCTAAACTCATCACCTTCATTGACTGAGAATAAGTCCAAACACAAAAACAAAAAGAAAGTTAAATATTTACACAAATCAGAACTAAGAAATAAGACTTATAAATCAGTACAAGTGATTCCTAAAATAGGGGGTCATTTTTTTCTTGCCTACATGTGACTATTGCAACCAAGTGGGTCAAACACAACAAAATGTGTTTAAGAAATAAAGATCTGATGGAGTAATAGGAAGTAATAATGAAAAAGCAAAACAAAGGCACCCTTGGCCTTAGGGATTTGTACTAAGAATTTTCAAAGCTTTCCAGAAAGGAAGGTGTGACATGAATTGTCATAAATTCCACCCCTGTATGGCATGAGAAATGTCCCCTGGGGAGACAGTGCAATGGGGATGGTTGCAAAGCCCTGTCCTTTATAGGTCTGGGTCTACTATAAGGTGCCGGCATCTTAGAGAAAGAACATGGTCAAAAGTGCCCTGTGCTCCTGCCCAGCATTCTGGAGAGGGTCAGAGAGAAAAGGGTGGGGAGGAGGGAGAGGGGACACAATGAATAGCTAGGGTACATAGGGTTCTTTGTGCTTTTTTTTTTTGCAAATCTTTCCAAAGTCTGAGACTATATCAAATAAAAATTTTTTAAGGAAATACATTTACCACCTGACCCAGGACACACAAACATATATTACTAATTAAAATACAAGTAAAGTCAAAAACAGCCCAGATTGACTGCATAAGTGGAATTCCAAATTTTAAAATTATTTTTCTTTATTAAAAAAGGCATTCTCCATCCACATCACTGCTCCGTAACAGGAGGTGATTATCCCCTCAGGGGACTCGGCAATGCTCACAGATTTCTCTGAATTGCCACAACTGAGAAGTGCTACTGGCCTCTCAAGATCAGGTGTGCTGCTAAACACACACACCCCCCCCCCGCCCCACCCACTCCCAGCAATGCACAGCACGGTGCCCAGAACAAAGACTTAATGTGGTTCCCAGTGGCAGTTGTGCCCTGGTTGAGAAACCCTGGACTACAGACCATGAGTAGATCAAATGCCACAACTGGGGCTGTGGTTGTAGCTCAGTGGTAGAGCACTTGCCTAGCATGTGTGAGGCACGGGGTTCAATGCTCAGCACCGCATATAAGTAAATAAATAAAATAAAGATCCATCAACAACCTAAAAAAAAAAAAAAGCCACAACTGGACCACTGTCCTAGAAATGCTGGCGAGCAGGAAGGAGGCCTGAGCAGCCCTCCCTGGACACCAGTGACAGGGTGCAGCCTGCAGGGAGGAACTAGGAACACTCTGACCCAGGGGGCGGCCCTGTGGCCTCAGGCTGCACATGGGGAAGAGACAAAGAGGGTGGGGCAGAAAACTGGGACTAGCAGCTGGGGAGGCTGGGCAGCCTGCACTTCCAGGGTTCAGGGTAGAGAGGGGGTGTCTGTGATCACCCAGCACCCTGTCCCAGAGCCGGGCAGCCTTAACCCAGCTCTAGCGTGGTCATTCCTCCAGAGCTGCTGGCCCAGGGCCAGACAGGAAGAACTGTGCTTTTTTAAAGAGGTGTACACCATGTCTGAGAAGGATGTGCAGAAAACGTCTACAGGTCACTTCCAACTTACAAAGACTTGACTAGGACCCTTCCTGCACTTAATATCCCCCAGGGGAGGCCACACGATGAATACATGAGCACCAATAGACCACCACGCCAACAGTGATGGGCATCCCCACAGCAGCACTGTCTCCCACTCTTCACACAGCTTTAAAAGCCTCCCAGACACGTTCCAGTACATGACCTGGGCAAAACACACAGGCAAACAGATGGTTTTCCCTGTGGAGGCCCTTAAAATACCCATGATGAACAGGGACATTTACCCGGAGAGAAGATAGCTTACCTCCAAACCTGCATCCAGTTCATTCCAAATTGAAAAAATACTCAGGTAAATGGATATGTCCTAATATTTTTGTATTGTATTTCATTTAATAAACGGATTCGTTCACTAGAGCCATCATTTGAGTTCATTTATTTGCTATATATAATAGGGTTCTCCACAGAAACAGAATATACATGTATACAGAGAATGTGTGTGTGTGTGTGTGTGTGTGTGTAGTATATGTACACAGACAAACATTTTTTAAGACAGAAATTGCCTCACATATTTATGGAGAAGGAAAAGCCCATGATCTCTGCAATCTAGACAAGCAAGGAAATCAGTAGTGTAATTCTGTCAAGTCTGAAGGTCTGGGTAGGTGGAGGGGCTACAGCTTAAGTCCCAGAGAAATTGTATGGTATAGAACCAGGAGCCTAGAAATCCCAGGTAAGATGGATGTCCCAAACAGAGAGAAAAAAATTCACCCTTCCTTTGGATAATGACTGCCCACTTTGGTAAGGATTATCCTCTTTACTAATCCAAATGCTAATCTTTTCTGAAAACACCATTGCAGGTGCACCCAGAAATAATGTCTTATCACCTATGTGGGCATCTCTCAGCCTAGTCAAGTTGATACATGAAATTGACCTTCACATTATGTGACAGGACCTAGAATAGAACTACAGTTAATTACTTATCCCTACAGGAAACAAAGGTTTTGACTGCAGCAGGCTCATCTTTCAACCTTCCACAGGAATTGACTAATCAACACAGAATGAGTAAACAGAGAAATTTATGCAGGGAGATTCATGGACAGTGATTCCTCTGTGGACACATGCACAACGAATAATTTACAAAGAGTAAAGTGGAAAACTACAAAGCATTATAAAGCTATAAAAGTATCATGAGATGGCAGTGTTGGCCCCCACATGCCTACATAATGTAGAAAGGGGTCCTTGTGACTTACAGTGCCACCAAAAATTAAAATATTCTATCTAGAGATCATCAAATAGTCTATTAATAATAATCATTACAACATTTTCCCCATTACCTTATAGTATCTGCTTGGTGACCTACCCAAATAAAATAACCAAGCACTGGGAGCGAGTAGTTTAAAGATGATCATCATGCTAGAAAACAAGTTTTAAAGTTAGTTAAATGCACAGATCTAACGGCATGATGTTGCATTCCTGGTGACAAAAACACTCAGGGTCACTCCAGGGGAAATGGGTTGCATGATATAACCACAAAGAGACAGAGATACCTTTTTCTTTTTGGGGGTCTTGTGATGGATCCTCTGACCTTAAGGGTCCACAGAAGAGAGAGCAAGCGCCAGCGCATGCTGACCCCTTTTATTGAGGAGAAGTCATTCAAGTGAGGCAAGGGGTCAGGTTTCAAGGGGCTGAGTCTAGCTTCATGATGTCTGCTGGCAGGAGGCTGACATCTAGGAAGGCCACACCCAAAGGGAGAGCAAGAGAAAGGGACATACAAAGGGCATTTCCATGGAACATTCTGTCCCAAACATGGCAAAGGGGTAATATCACAAAGGAACAGGTGAGCATAGCTCGACCCATGGGGCTGCAGGAAGGCACACCTAAGCATGAAGATACATTTAGCGACATTTTTACGACTCACAAGACTGGACCACCATCTATGGCCACTTTGATGTGGTCAGATCACAGGAAGTGACCAGCAGAGCCTCAACCGATCAGGAAAGGTCACAAGGCTTGGTGGCCTCCCACAGCATGAGAATGACTAGACAAACTATATTGAGAGTATATGTACACATTAATCTCACCTATCCAAAGAAATGAGCGTCAATCAAAGGAGAATTTGAAGTGGTGCCACTAAAGATAGAATGAACACCTGCTATATTCCGAAGCTGTTCTGGGTATTATTCAAATATTGATGTACCAGTGAACAAGGAGAAAAACACATGGCCTCCTGCCATTGACTTCTTCCCTCCATGAGGGAGAAGATGGTGAACACAAACACAAATAATGTATGTTGGATATGTGTACTGTTCACTGAAGCACAACTGAGATGCACAGATCACCAGTGTATACCTCTATAGATTCTGATATATGTCTACTTTATGTAATCACCACCCATTTTGAGATATGGAACATTCCAGCACTCTACAAGTTCCCTTTAATAGGAAGTTTCCACCCCATCAAGGTCAGCATTTACCTGACACCTATCACCATGCAGTCATTTTCCTTGTTCTCCATTTTTATATAAATAGAATGATACCATTGGTACTTTTGAGTCTGGATCCTTTTACTCAAGATTACAGGCTCATCCATGTTGTCATGCACAGCCTTAGCGAATTTATTTTTAACGTAGCGTACCATGTCATAACAAGAATAGTAGAACTATATTAATAAAATGGTTTATTTGTCCATTCTTCAGTTGAGGTCAGTTGTGGGCTATTTAAAATCAAGCTGCTTTCAAATCTTGTTGCACATGTCTTAACATGTCTTTTGGGAGACCAAAAACATTCATTCTTGTTGGGAGGGATCCTGGGTCATAGGTACTTGCATGTTTAGGTTTAGATGTCATTGCCACCATTACAAAGTGGTTGTCCCACCAGCAATGCATCAGAGTTACAGTTAATCCATAAATTCAAACTACTGTCCGTCCACGGAATGTCAGCCATCTGAGTGAGTATACACCTGGATGTATATGGTATTTATAACTACTCTGCTATGTAATGGTGTTTACCATGTTTTCATATGTTTCTTGGCCATTAGAATATTCATTTTTGAGAAACATCTATTCAAGTCTTGACCCATTTTTGGATATAATTTTCTAGAAATACAGCTGTTGTTGTAAGAGAACTTCCTTGATGAGCAACAGTATCTCTCACCTGAGTCTTCCCTAAATGCCTCTGCTTTAGTTTGGATCCTGAATGTCCCTCAAAGGCTCATGTGTTCATGGCTTGGTCATCAGGGTGGCACTATCGGGAGGTAGTGGAACCTTAGGAGATAGGGCCTAATAAGAGGTACTCAGGTCATTGGGGACTGGCCCTCAAAAGGGATCATGGGACTCTATCTCCGGAAGGACAGACAGCAACTCCCTGGTGTAGGGTGCTATAATTTAGAACAGGACAGCACCTAGGGGCTGGACGACAGGTAGAGCCAGGACAGGTTTACACAAGTTCACACCAGTTTTTCTACCAATTGTATACTGCCCTCATGTAACTATTTGAGGGCAAGGGCATGGGTCACTGACATGGGCTAAGGACATATGCTAAGGATACAGGATAGGTTGCTCAGGAGGGCTTGTTTTGCCTTTCAAAGGCTCGTGGGTGTTTTGGAGTTTCTTTTGAGACTCGTTCAGTCTTTCTTTTTCTGTATCTCCAATTCCCATCTGAGGATTAGAGGGAGAAAGGAGGGCCAATAAGGCTGTGGGTATGATAGGGGGATGGACAGAAGAGAAAAAAATGAGAAGATAATGCCAGAGCTGCATGGGGTCTGGCCCTTTCCCAGGGCCCTGGCAGCAGAAGAGAACAGGCTCCTCACTCCCTGATCCTATCCTTTCAAGGCCCTACTTGTTGCCCCATGTAGCCACCTTTGTGTACAGAGGTTTGGGGAGGAAGCGGCTGGACTTCATGTAGGCAGAGATCTTCTTCAAGCCCTGCAAGTGGGAGAGAGAAAGCAGAACTCAGGACTGCTGAGGTTCAGAGAGTGTAAGTTGACTTCCCCATGCTGACACAGCTACTAAGTGGGACAGACTGGATGCAGCCTGGCTGTGTATCTCTGATTCTGTGCTCTCTCGGCTGTACTCCTCACCTCCCCTTCCCACCAGAGGCCCTGTCCCCACTATCTGCACAAACAATCTCCTTTTTCACAGGAGGCTCATTCTTGCCTCTTGAACACAGAAGAAGGACTGAGCATGACACAGGGCAGCTTGGGAGAGATCCAAGATTATTCACCCAGTGACTCAGCAAAACCCGGATGATAGTATGTAACTGGAAATGGACCCACAAAGAAAGGACAACTCTAATCACTGCCCTGAAGCAGAAAGTCCAAACTTCTCCACCCTGTACCTGAGTCCAATCTCACTGTGTTCCAAACTACCTCTTCTCTAGCCCCACTACACGGGACCAGGCAGTATAAAAGCCTGGTGTGTTTGTGGGCCTCCTTTAGAGGACAGGGACTGCACAGACGCTTTCTAAGGGGTTCAGTGCAAATCAGGGCTGCTGTGCCCAAAGGATCAAGCCCACACTGGGCTCAGGCCACAGCCCTCAGCTTCCCACACTCCTCACTCCCAGGCTTAATCCAGCCCTTACACAATCCCCAAAGCCACTCAGCCTGGACCAAAACCAGAGCTGGTAATAACTAGCTGAGACAGCGCATTTCTAGACAAGGAGGGGGAAAGGCTAAAATACTGAATCTGCTAAAGAGGTTGTGTTGGTGACAAACAAGGGAACCTGGGGTGACCCATGATTGGCTCTAAGGTGAGGTACAGGCTGTGCTTCCTAGAACACAAGTGGTACCACGGACACCTCATAGTCTGATACCTGCCATTCCCTGCTCCACTCAGTCTGGGCATGGGGAATCTTTGCATGCCCCATGGGACCTGACAGCAGACCTCACATGGAGGAAACCATCACGGAAAATAAGTGTGTGAGTGAAAAATAAGGGTATGGCCCCATTTCGCAGATGAAACACTTAGAACACTGAAAAGAAGAAAGAGGTCAAGGGAGAGGAAAGGAAAGTCCCACACCATAGAACACTTCAGGATAAAGTCCTCTAACACAGACACCCATATATGTACCCAATTCAGCACCAACTTCAGCTCTGGCGTTCAGTGTGTCCTCAGATGGGGGTCCAACTGGTGCAAAAAATTCTGCCTCTGGCACAAAATATATCCACTGACTGGTGTCCTTAGGAGCCACAAGCTGACATGGAGCCCAGCACAGCCTCTACTGGCACTGGGACCCTGAGCAAATGGCTAACCCTCTACACTGTTTCCTTATCTGTCCAGAGGGACTGATAATTTTATGTACCCTGCAGGAATGTTGTAATGATATATTTGAACAACAGATGCAAGGTGATAAACATGGGTCCTGGCACAAAGCCAGTGCTCAATAAATGCTATCTCTTCTTCAATTAGCTTCATGACTAAGAAAACATAGTGGGAGGAGAGAAGGAAAAATTGATAGCCAAGAGGAAAGAGGGTGAGAGGAATCACCTCAAAGCGGGATACGAAGTCCTTCAGGTTCGAAAATTCATCCAGGCACTTAGGGTGAAATATTCGGTGCAGGTCAAGTAAATCATAAGCAAGGAAATCCACAAAGGTGATCTGCAGAAAGCCAAGGATGAGTGGGCATGAAATTTTGTACCCTGGAAAGGGTGAAAAGTCCCAATTCTTTTGTTTTTACCTTATCACCAACAAACCATGGCTTCTTCCCCAAGAACTGTGAAAAGAGCTTCAGTGCCTCTGGGATGCGCTCCAAGTACTCTGGCTTCAGTTTCTCCTGAGGCAGAAAATAGTTGTCATTATCCTAAGAAATAAGTTCCCTGGTAGAGTGATGAGGCTCAATATTGCTATTCATGGCCCCAGCTAGCCCCGAGTGAGAAGCCATCTTACCTAAAATGGGGATAAAATCACTATCCAGTTTTTTTTAATTTAATGAATTGGCATTTATTGATTCCTATAGGATACCTGACCCCATCCTTTAGAAATGATAGAACATCAAAGAAGAATAGAACATTATCTCCAACGAGACATTATTACCAACCACCACCTGTGGTTTTTGACCCATGAGTGCCCTGAGCACCTGGCAGGCTCTGGACTCAGATGTTAGGCAGTATCAAAGAAGCATGAACCGAAAGAGCCCAGGAAAGATGATGAAAGTTCTACCTAGAAGGTTCCAGAAGAATGAAATACACATTTGAGTTTTTCCCATAAAGTAAGGAGTATTTGAGGCTGATAAGAAGGAAGGAGAGGAACCTCTGGCTGACGCTTAGTTGCCTAATAGAAAAATTGATTTATATGGGTATGAAGGAGACAGCGCCCGAAAACACTTGGTTGAAGGTCAAAACTCAAGAGTTCTGTAACAATCCATCTTTTTGTACTTCCTTTTCTCATAGACTTAAGTATGTGCATTTCATGAGAAGACACATGATGTAAACCAGCTGGGAGAGGGCCTAGGGCAGAGATGAAAATGGAAAGAATTCCAAAATTTGACTTTATGCTCTAGGAAGTAAATGTCCACCTTGAGGAGTCTGGACTATACCTTATAATGGTGGGGATTGAATAAAAGTGTTCATTTGACACAATCTGATGTTACAAGGGACACTCACAGAAGCATGCAGAATATACTGGGGGATAAGAGGCACTAAGGAGTTCAAAAGTGAAACAAGACTCATCTAGAGGGGATTCCAGGAGTCCAGAATCCTAATCCAAATCCTACCAGGTCCAGCCCAGTGGGGGTAGGGGTGGTCAGCAGATGACTCACAAAGTCTGGGCTATAGCAGACTCTAGCCAGCTCATTGGCAATGTCCATAGCCTGGTTCTCCAAAATGTCCACACGAATCATCTCCTCTTCTGTCTCCCCACCTGCCTCACACACAACAGAGACACACCTTCAGCCTCCCACCCAGCCAAGCCAGGGATACAGCCACCATCCCCCACACCCTGCAGCCAGCCCCACTCACACAGGTTGTGCTTGCGGGCAATGTAGCGCAGGATGGCGTTGCTCTGGGTGATCCTGTGAGGCCCGTCAATCAAGTAGGGCAGCTGGATGGACAACCAGGGATGGTCAGGTGAGATGCAAGGACCCACTTCCCCTTTCCTGAGTTAGGGACATGGAGACCTGGTACTTGGTAGGCCTGGCCCATGGTTATCACACTGTAGAATAAATGATCTGGGACACAGACCATCACACAAAGACAGTGTAGACACACAGAATTGAGAGTAGTTGAACAGAAAAACTGATCTCGAAACTCTAAACTGGGGCATAAAGATGAGGAAGGGATGCCTTCAGTTTCCCAAACTACCCCGTCCTCCGACCTACATTGGGAAAGTCCAGGCCCAGCTTGAATTTCTCATCCAGCCACTGGCTTCTGTCATAGTCTGGAGCTGTGGAGGAGAAGATGATGTGAAAGTAAACCTCCCCTGAGTCTAACACTCCTTCCCTGCACCCTTCCAAGGAGGCAGATGCAAGACCCCTAGGAGGGTAGATCTGGAATCTCAGACACTCCACTTCACATTCCAAGATTACAGGGAGTAATGAATGCTTTCAAGGGCCATGAATCCAACATGATTGAGGCTTACAAAATGTTCCCACAAGGGCTAAGGGGAACCCAACAAGATCACAGAGGAGGAGCCAGCACTCCACTCCCAGAGTCCTGCCTTGTAAGACCAAACTGCACCCTCAAGGAGGTTTCTGGGAAGGCGCAGGCTCTAAGTGCACCAGGAGGAGTTCTGCAGAGCTGAACAACAGGTGGCCAGGCCATGGGCCACAGAGCACCGATCAGCAGGAGCTGGGGACCAAACAGGAGGGTGACATTACCGTCCCCCATGGTGTATCTCTTCTCCTCATAGTTTGAGTCTGTGTATTCCAGGAGCAGGCGGATGGCATGAGCCAGCTGGGAGAGATGGCGATGGCAGAGGTCAGAGATGGAGGGACCCTGATTTCACCTCCCCGACGAGAACCTCCCACCCACACCTAACACCACCCGCCTCCCGCGAGCTTGCGCACTCTGGAGCTCACAGTGTGTGAGGAGGGCGCCTCAAGGAGACAGGCAGAAGACTCCAGCAAATTCTGAAGAGGATTCGTCTCCTAGAAACCGCCCCCCTCTGCTCCACACGTCTCGGGCCCACGCAGCCCCGCCCCCTCTCACCCGCCAACTCACCCCGCGGATGTCCCAGTAACCCAGTATCATGGGCATGGTGCGGGTGTTGTGGGGGAGCCGACTGGCCTCGGTGGGGCTGAGCCGTGACTTTACGCTGGCGCCGGGCAAGGGAGGGGGCGGGCCCTGGTGGCCGGTCCCGCCCCGCCCCTCTTACGCACGGTCCTCCCCCCGCCCCTCACACCCGAGGGGCCTCTTTGCTCAAATCCGGAAAGAATAAGATCCAATTCCGCTTCCAGCCCCGCCCAGCGGCTCCTGGCCCTACCCTCTGGTGGGTTCCTGGGGAGTAGGCCCTGCGCTGGGAGCGCGGTACTTGGCGAATAGCTGACTACCCCTTCTCCCTTCCTTGCCCTCCTCGCAAAGCTCAGCCCCTGGATTGTCGATTTCCCGCAGGTTGTGGGAGGATCAGGCCATAAGTGCTACTCCCACCCGAAAGTTTTAATTTGGCACTTCGCCCCCATTAAGTCATACAAGCCTTGGTCTGCAACGTTTTGCTGATTTGGGTTGTTGAGACATGAATCCCTATTGCAAACGCATTCCACCATTCAGACAAGACCGATCTCGCAGACTCCGTCTGGGTCCTGCCTCAGTAGCGGCCTCTAGCTTCAAAGTGAATTCTTTTCTAGGTTTGCACACTGTGAGACGATGGTACTAGGGCTTAGTCCTACCAATAACCACGTGTCACCTAACGGAGTTGGATAATGTCTTTATTGTGTGAACATCATAGCGTACTTGTGCAGACCTAGATAGTGTAAGTCAGTTACTTGAGGTGGCCTTTTTGATTCAATCAAGAGGAGAGAACATGAGATGAATGAGGCTGCTGCTAGTATAACATCGTGTTATACAGTTAACATTTTTTATGTAAGCTGGAAGAATATAATCTACACTGACCATAGTAAATTCATAAACCAGTAACATTTAATATAATTATTAAGTATTATGTACTGTGTACATTGTATGTGCTCTTTTTTTTGGGGGGGGGTGTTGTTTTGAGACATTCTCACTATGTTGACCAAGCTGGTCTTAAACTGATAGACTCAAGCATTTCACCTGCCTTAGCCTGGGGAATAGCTGGGACTACAGGCCAAGGCTATCACCGTGGGTGTGTATGTGTTAGTCTTTCATATAGTTGACAGCACAATAGGTTGGTTATACTTGCTAAATCTAGTTTGCTTAACATTTTTATTTTAACATCAGCATGACCTACACTCAACTTCTCTCCTTCTTGGTTTATAAAAACATTAAAGAATGTCCTGTATTTTCAAAACACCTGCTCCTGTCGTTCTTACCTGACTTCCAGTCTTCAATACCCAAACTACAGTCAACTGGAGGGACTGTTAATTAATGAGTAATGCATTGTGCCATGATGTTAAGAGAGCTACAGCATAACTAATCAATAAAAATTTTAAAATTCCATTATAGTCCTATGGAATCACCTTCATACATGGGGTCTTTGACCAAAATGTGGTTAAGTAACAGTGTGACTATACTTATAGTTCTTATCATATATTAACTGTATCATTTCAAAAGTTTTATACATCTTGACCTTTGAAAGACAAAATTTCCAGATTCAACTGAGAAAATGATTTTTAAAGCCAACATTAATTAGAATAATTATGAAACAACAGACATTGTTACATTAGTATTCATTTATTTGGTCACTCCTTTTTTTAAAAAAGGTCAGCCACATGCCTATAATCTCAGTTGCTTGTGAGGCTGAGGCAGAAAGATCACAAGTTCAAGATCACCCTCAGCAATTTAGTGAGACACTGACTCAAAATGAAATTTTTAAAAGGCTGTGGATTTAACTCAGAGGTAGAGCATTCCTTGCACCCCTCAGTACCCACCACCACATACACACACACACACACACACATATATATATATACACACACACACACATAGTTGTTGAGTTCCTACAACAGATAGGCCCCATAGATAAGATAGTCCCTCAAGTTGCCTGTAGTTTGGCTATTTGAGACTGGAAGTCACACAAGAACTACAGGGAGGATGTTTTGAAAATATGAGACATGTCTTGGTGTTTTTATAAACTGAGGAAAGAGGCTGAGTGCAGGCCATGCTGGTGTTAAAAGAAAAATGTTAGACATATTAGTAGAGTTTTAGCACAGAATGATTTATGAACAGGCAACACTTGGAATCAGGAGAGGTTGAGAGCACCCCCACCCCAGCAATGTGGGCAGGCAGTATTTATCATGAGAAAATGGAAGTGAAATATAAAACAGTTTGATTGGTCACAGTTCAGCATTTGCTTTTTAAGGACATGGTCTTATGAGTTGACCACCTGTAGTTGACTGAATCTCAGGCTGTTACGATTGGCTGAAATTCAACTACCTATCAAAAGAATACACTCTCAGTTAGGTTGCAGTTTGTTTACAAACAAGTTAGGTTGCAATTCATTATGCTTGGAGGTAGCTTAACACAAATTAAACTTAACATTGGCCAGAGCAAGGACTCTGAGGAGCAGGTAAGATGGATCTCAGAGCACAAAGGCCCCTTCACAGAAGGAGGACAGCTGTATATAAGAAAGGGAAGTACTAGACCAGCAGGCTCTCAAAGGTGGGTCCCAGGAGCCAGGAGGATCATCCCAAGGGTTGCTAAGAGTTTCTGAAAGCCAATAGGGAGCATTGAGATTAGGGACACTGGAAAGTGGTTCTCTTCATCATAAAATGTGTTCTGTGATTGTTGAGAAGAGTATTCTTCATGTCTGTTGATTTTTAGGTGGCTTATTGTTATTCAAGTCCTCTCCTTGCTTATTTTCTTTCTGCCTGTCCCACACATCATTAGAGTGGATAATTAATGCCTCCCACTGTTATTGTCTATTTCTCCACTCAAGGCTGCCAATTTTTGCTGTTGTGTCTTGTTTTTCTGTTCCCACTGTGAGAGATGTAGCCTGTAGTTTGTATGAAAAGGAATCACCTAATCCCCTACTCCAGAAGTTCTCCCAAATATCTGCTTGCTTCATTTTGCAGGGAGCGGGCTTCTAGATACCCTTTTTATGTAAACTTGATTATCAGTGAAATGGTAGTTTTGAATGACTGGAAATCTCTAACAAGGAGTTGGAACCATGGGGTAAATTAGTGTGCAGGAGAAGGTGTAAGCCTGATGTCACACACAATGTTGTATCTTAGTGGAACACAGATTGCACTGGGAGTATCAGTTGTTATCAGAAGGAGTGGATCATTTTTATATCCCTTGAGATGGACAAAGTCCCTAAGTGGAATTAAGCAGTTCCTGCAAAACAAGTGAGATGTCTTTGAAGAAAGCAAACAACTGTAGCAACCAGAATAGCCTCAATATGAGTCCTTATAGATTGGTCTAGCCAATAGGACTGTAATGACCTCAGCAGGAGCGTTGTTGAGTTCTGCAAGAGTGCAGGTTGGAGTTAATGATATGGGAGAAACATAATTCACCACATGGAACCTGTGAGAGGAAAGTTTCTTTTTGAAATTTTTAAAAGAACAGCTATTAAATTTTTGTCAGCAGTCTCAGGAGAAAGTGACAGGTCTAGCAATTGTTAGAATGGCAGCAGTACTCTGGGAGAAACATACAAGAAAGTTTTGTGTTCTCTTAAGTGGTAGATGCAGAATACAAGGGGTCAGAAAGAGAAGGATGAAGATATGTGAGATAAGGTTTTAGAGGGCTTCAAAGTGGGATGAAAAGATGAAATAATAAAAGGGAGTTGAATAGGAATGTTAATCTTGATTGAAAATCTGGGGCAGAAGCTGTCACCTCTGAACTAAGCATCTTAGGAAGATTCTAAGAATCTCAGTCAAAGATTTCCAATGGAATGAGTGCATTAGTAGTCTGTATATATATAGTAGTCTGTATGTATACGAGAACCATTAACCTAAGAAGCAGTACTTTGGAGTCTCGCTGCTATCAGTTGTTAATAGTACCTGATAAAATCCTTTTCAATGAGACTCAAGGGCAGTTCTTGTCAGGTATTTCCTGAACACTGAATCTCCTGTTGTAGATCATAGGCAGGCAGTTTGGCAGTGCAGTTTGGATCTATTGATGATAGAGGTATCATCCTTTGCAATTTCTTTATTTTCCTTGCAATTTCACTGCAATCACATAGAATCTAAGATTGGGGGTGAAATTTTCAAATACATAGACCAGCCTGTTATTAATTCATAAGGAGAAGGTCAATCTTGTACTCATTAAAGCTAATGGTAATATTTTAGGCCCCAGGAGTTTAAGGCCGTTTTGTTGATTTTAGTTTTACAATTCTATCAGTTCTATTTTTCCTGAAGACTGTCAATGATAAGGACAGTAAAGTTTGGGGGTAAAAGACAAACTTTACAGAGTTCCTTAATAACAATACCAGTAAACTGAGTGTCTCTGTCTTATTGGAGAGATAAATGGAAATTTCCAGGATTAAAAACAAAAAACTTTGGAGATTGAACTCAGGGGCATTTGGTCACTGGGTCACATCCCCAGCCCCATTTTGTATTTTATTTAGAGACAGGGTCTCACTGAGTTGCTTAGCGCCTTGCTTTTGCTGAGGCTGGCTTTGAACTCCAGATCCTCCTGCCTCAGCCTCTCTGAACTGCTGGGATTACAGGCATGTGCCACTGCACCCAGCAAAAAAATCAAAAAACTTTTAGCCACACTTAGAGCTATAGCTGTACATCAAGGAAAAACTTTAAGGCATGGCGAGGGCAATAAATACCAAACCAGAAACTAATCAGAAACATGTTTAAAATTCATTGCAGAAGGTATAAAGTGCATTTAGAGGTTAGAAGGGCCTTCAAAATCTTGGTTCTTGGGGCTGGGGCTGTAGCTCTGTGGTAGAGCACTTGCCTAGCATGCTTGAGGCACTGGGTTTGATCCCCGGCAACGTGGGAGACCCTGGGTTCGATCCTCAGCACCACATACAAAAATAAATAAGTGAAATAAAAGTGTTGTGTCCAAATACAACTAATAAATAAATAAACAAATAAAGGTATTGTGTTCATCTACAACTAAAAAAAAATTAATAAAAAAATCTTGGTTCTTGTCCTTATCCCACACTTAGATTTATTAGGATCACATTGTTGACAGTAAGATGTGTTTTGGTAATACCAATAAATTATCCCCACCTATGCTGATTTATCTTGTTGCCAGTTTATCCCTGCTATAATGAGTAACCTCATAAAGCA